ATTTCTGTTAATGGCATAGCAAAAGCCCTGTGACGAAAACTTCATCCAGTCTTTTTTGAAAGCGGCATTGCGAACATCCTCGATGCACTGAATGGCTAAAGTTTTACGTACTCCATACCAGCGATGAAAATGCGATAGTGGAACTGATCTGCACAAGCTGGGTCAGTTTACACACTTCACTTGCTACAACATTACTGCGGCTTGATTTAATGACTTGCGCAGACATAAGACGGAACCATGAAATGAAACCAGAAATACTGGAAATTCATAAATTTGACGGTAGATTCGTATTGTGCTTTCAGTGCGACATTTAGTATTGTACTCAGAGAGCACCATTCATCAATATGTAAAAAAATAAGCATCTGCTGACAGACAGCCAAACTCGGGATCACAAGTTGCGCAATGAATTAATGAGTTCCCGTAGGTAGAAAAATTGAGTCATAATAAAACGCGAAATCTCAGAAAATCGTACGTTTTACAGAAGTTTCAGATTGTGCTCAGGGAGAGTCTCATTGACAGGTAACACGGTAGGCTGGATATGACAGCTGATCAAGATGACCACAGTCTAATCATATAGCTTCGAACTCGCGCCACAGAAGTATACGTTGATAACGACTATGGATCGGCGTCGAATCGTCACAGACTGGCGTTGTGAAACAGGAGGCACGACGAAGACAGAAGAAAATAAACTTCCGTTGTTTCTCGCATAAGAAAATCATAATTCGAATTCGAAACAAAACATAATCTCAGCAACTTATGGGTCCAAAGATAGATTATCCCATGCTCGCACACTGGTAGTCATCTAAAAACACACCGTAAATGGTTTAGTTACACACACGCATAATAAACCGTCCATCGAATGATTAAATACTACCAAAATTGCGGTTCGAGTTTCATGAGCCGTGTTGAAGGTAAGGCTTGTTGAAGTTCCCTTGTCTGGAGTAAATGGTCCGTGTTGAGCCTACGGCGATCTCTAAGTTTGAGTTGCTGCGTCAACAGTTTATTAACGACGGGTGATGAAAAGAGGTTGGACGTCACCGTCACATGAAGGACAAGCTGGCATCATCATGAACGAAAGCACTAGGCTAAATAGGAGGCAGGCATGATTTGCCTATTTCTGCGACATCTGTCAACCATAATAAAGGGTACGAAACTCCGCTAGCATTGGATGCGCATTGTCACGTCTGTAACCGACAAATAGCAAAAGCAACAGAATGAAAGGAGATATAGGCTCATTGCTCGAAACGTATCTGGTACTGCAAATACCATATAGTTGCCAATAAGCCACTGCCAACCTTACCTTGAAAAAGGACCGTAAAACTCGAGGTGAAATGAATGTCGCACTCAATCAACCGCAAGATAGATTCTTTTGCATTTAGAACAATTGACGGCTTTATCAACGTTTCAGGAATTTATGCGACAAACAAAAATCAAATGGAAGTTGTTTATAATACAAAACCTAATGAATCAGTAAAAACTTGAACTTGTCCTGACGACTACTGGATACCTGCTTGACTCTCCTGACAGACTCCAAAAATCCGATGTTGTTGGCGTACTGCTTCAACTGGACGAGTTGACTCAGGTCTGTGATCCAAGATTCGCCGAGTTTCTATAGTTCATAAATAGAATGTGAAAGGAATAATCATTTCATTACTTCTGCAATGACATCGGCAAGCGATGGATTTGACAACAACAGCCAGCGTCTAGGAGTGATTCCGTTAGTTTTGTTCTGGAACTTCTCTGGCCACAACTCGTAAAAATCTTTGAAACTAAAAAAATATCCACAAGTGGTTGAGGTCAAGACTTTCTGGAAAAGTTACATTTGGTTTCGAAGTATCTCTGAATGAATCGCCGCAACACCGTTGACTACGTGAGCACCAACAATGCAGAGGTATGCCATGTTTATGCGTTTTTCGCCGAACGTATCAGCTTCTTCGACGAGCGACATTCGACGAAGTCGATCAAGATCACCAGGCCAACGAGAGTTCACTTCCTCCAAAACAGAAAAACCATGCTTCAACGCACATAAGAAAATAAAATTATCTCATAAGAGTGACATTGTATTGAAAAAACCAAGCAACGGGCTGTATTAAAACTTTTATAAATCTATTCCATTACAATTATACAAGCACTGTAATGTAAAAGAAATAAAATAAAAATCACAACAACAAAAAATCATAGCAAATATTTCGACACTAAATAAATTTTCAAACATAAAGTAAATAAATTATAAATAATAAACTCTAGCATAATTCTGGCATTGTTTCTGTACTTGTTTACATAATCTTCCCTGAAGAAGAAACTAGCTTCATCTGAAATGCAAGTTATGAAGATTTTGACGACAAAATAATTAA